CTAAAATCGGTCCTATTTTAAAAATCACGACAACAGAGAAACAATGTAGTTGGAATCACTTTCAGAACGATTTTTTTTTCTTAGCCGATGAACAATAAAACATTGACAGCCAATCAGAGTCCATCCTGTTTTAACCAACACAATCGTTTAAAGCGGCCAGTGTTGCCAACTTAGCAATTTTGTATAGATTTAGCAACTTTTTTTTCAAAAAGCACCTAGCAACAAATTTAGTTATTTTTAAAAAGTTTTTGACAACTTTTGCAAAGTGACTCAAATGATAAAAAAAGGCACATATTTTCATCTAAATTACACAAAAAGAGGAAACCACTGAACAGCTAGCCAGTCAAGCAGCACACCAACCTGGAGAGAGCTGGAGAAAGATGCCTAAGAGTACAAACATCAAATGTGCATTAAGTTGCTAGTTCCAATTGGTCAATAATAAATGCACATTTATGATACAGCATGTTATTAGCTTCTATATATAATTGTTGTTCAGTTAGGTACACTGTAAGAAAAAAATATGTGGAAAAACTGAAAGGGTACTAGTCATTTTCTGCCAGGATATTATCCATTAATATATTTATAATATTTTTTATGAACAAATAACATTTAAAAAAATATATTTTCGCTGAGATTTGAGTAATCTCGTTGTGTATTCTACGTAAAAACGCTGTTTTGTGTCATGGTTATGCAATGACGTCATCACGCAATGACATCACAATGACATTTAGCAACTTTTAGCAACAAATCGATCTGCCTTTAGCAACTTCCCCTGAAAATTAGTTGGCAACACTGAAAGCGGCAGACCGTCCGTTGGTGTGGATGTTCTTAGACGGAATTTAACGCAGATGAAAACAACACTGTAAAAAAAAATCTGTAAAATTTAAGGTAAAAAACCGGCAGCTGTGGTAGCAACGTTTTAGGTTTTACGGTTTTAACTTAAATTTACAATTAAATACCGTAATTTCATTAACTGATATAATGTTAATATACCAACCTATTGAAGTACTGAAATCTGTTTTGTACCTTTGTAATACACTGATAACCACCAAATGCAGGTGGTGATGAGAAAGTCACATGATGAACCAAAGCCCATCATAAGCAGCTTTTAAATAATAACATATATAGAAGGTGCACAGCGTCATTCACACAAACACTGAACACCATCATGGTAACACACATGAAACTGAAATAATGCAATAAACATTCATTTAACAACATTAGGTGTAACACACAACCCTAATATACAAAACTGATAAGAAAAAACTAAGAAGAAACATAGTTATTTCAACAAAAAAACATCAAATTTGAAATGTAATGCAGGGAATTCTGGGAATGTCAATTTACGGTTATTCACTGTAAATTATACGGTCTTTTTCACCGTATATAGTAGGGGAATTTACTGTTAACCATTTAACAGGTTTTTACTGTAGCATTTTTACAGTCTTTTACCGTTAAATTCACGGTCATTTTTTGAAGGCTTTGAGGGACAGGCTTACAGTCTTCTTTACAATGGCGCACAATGAATAGGCCTAAAAGTCCTGTAATTTGTACTACTCACAAGTTTAAAAACTGTTTAATAGAGTTTTTGTCTACTGAAAGTTTTTCTGAAAGACGTTTTGTCAGCTGAACAATCGTTATGTTGTTAAACAACAGTACAGTCCATTGAACACATGTACTGATTATCCATCATTCTTTATCTTCTGACACACCACTGCTGTGTCAAATGAGTAAAATGGTAGGAAACACATTATTATTATACAGCGAAAGAAAAATAAATGCCTTAACTTTAGTGTTATGCTCTGCAAGATTAAGATAAATAAATAGTTATTTGGAATAAGGCACACTGAATCATTCATTAAGTAAACAGGGTGAATTTTGACTACTGTAGCCTAAGTCTGTGTCTTTGTTAAATAATGCCAGTTTCTTCTTCAAACGAGGGCAACTTCCTGTCCTACAAGCTTTCACAAGACAACCCGACACCCATCTGTTTGTCTCTTTCTCTTGCTCTCTTCGTTTCTCTCTTTACCCTTGAACTGAAACAGATCCAGAGAGATATTCAATCCCCTCGTTTTCTCGTTTCGATTGTGGACACCTCGTATTATATGCATGATTTAAATGGTTAAACATGTAATTGTTAATCATTCAGAGCTGATGTAATGCCAAATAATAAATTATATTTTGTTTAAATACAATGAAGCCTGTTTTAAGGAAAAGATCTCCATTTTTATGACAATTAAGCACATTTTCCCCTCTGACTTACTCATTATTTTAACTTAAATGATTTTAGCAAATGGCTGCAATATAACAAAGAGTGAAAAATTTAAGGGGGTCTGAATACTTTCCGTACCCACTGTATATATATATATATAATGCAGTGTTTAAAAGTAACATTTCTGGATGCATTGCATTCAGAATGCAAAATCTTTTGATCATCCTAAAATACTGTAGATTTCATTAAACATACAGTACTCCTGTACAACTAGAGGTCTGTAGGAATAACTGATCTGAAACATGCACTCATAATGCAAACAGGAAGGCTGTTTCAGAGTAAAATATGTCAATGTAAAACAGTTTGCCAGAATTGTAAACATGGTTTTGGATAAGCTTCAAGATTCTCCTGTGTTGAGATGATGCCGGGTTTGTTTTGGTAGTGAGTTTAAACAGGAAAGTGGAAGAAGAGCAGGATCAAGCATTAAATCCGACCCAGACATTTTAATTTCTCTGACCATAACTCACCTTCATACCACAACCCATGTTCATAAGCCACCTTCTCTCGTTCAATCCTCCTTCCTATTCTATAGGAAATAGTTCATTTCAGGTGAGAATGTGCATATATATGTTTGTCTGGACATTGACTAGGCATTAGTTTACCCCAGTTGTTGATGAAATGTTCAGTTTAACCAGAACAAGTCATCTACAATACAAACCAAAGGAGAAAGCAGTACCTCAAGTGCCCTACAGAGGGCGATACACACCGGCTCCAGTGTGCAGTCCACTTAACCAACAACGCAAAGGCTGTTCAGAACAACATAAGAGCATACTACTATTTCTCCAGTAAATAGTAGGTAAATAATATACAGTATGCATAGAATACATACTATGTTTGCCAAAATGTGTAGTATTTAACTGAGCCACACAATGGAACACTGTATCCCACAATGCAATGTGCTCAATTTGACCTTCCATATTCAGTGTGACAAGTACTCTGGACATGGTGCCTTCTTGTCTCATTATTTGGCAAGCCGTTTTTAGAATTATTTGGTACAACTCTTGACAGTTTTAGA